GTACAAATATGGATCTCTTGCAGTCAGTTGGCCAGATAGCTGTCTTCCAAATCTCTTGGCATAGCTGAGTGAGTGCCTCCAGCACAGCATCCATTTATTAAAACATCTGTTAATTCCCAGAGCTTTGTTTTTCACGAATTCCTTCAGTGCAGCTTTGACTTCTTCCTTCAATACCATTGGTTCTTGATCATATGCCATCTCCTGAAATGGATGATTATAGACCAATTCTTTTTGGTATAGTGACTCTGTGTATTCCATCCATCTTCTTTTGATGTTTCCTGCATCACTCAGTATTTGCCCATGGAATCTTTCAGTATTGCAACTCGAGGCTTGAATTTTTTCTTCAGATCTTTCAGTTTGAGAAATGCTGAGTGTATTTTTCCCTTTGGGTTTTGTAGCTTGAGGTCTTTGCACATTTAATTATAATAATTAACTTTGTCTGTTCGAGCTGCTCTTTGAAATATTCTGTTCAGCTCCTTTATCCTGTCAATTCTTCCATTTGCTTTAGCTACTCTCCATCCAAGGGCTAGTTTCAGAGTCTCTTCTGACATCCATTTTGGTCTTTTCTTCTTTTCCTGTCTTTTTAATGACCTTTTGCTTTCTTCATGGATGATGTTCTTGATGCCATCCCATAATTTTTCTGTCTTTTTGGTCATTGGTGTTCAATGCATCTAATCTATTCTTTAGATGGTCTCTAAATTCAGGAGGGATATAATCAAGGTCATATTTTGGCTCTCATGGACTTGTTTTAATTGTCTTCAGCTTCAGCTTGAACTTGCATATGAACAGTTGGTGGTCTGTTCCACAATCAACTCCTGGCCTTGTTTTGGCTGAAGATACTGAGCTTTTCCATTGCCTCTTGCCACAGATGTAGCCAATCTGATCCCTGTGTACTCCATCTGATGAAGTACGTGTATATCACCACTGTTTGTGTTGTTGAAAAAAAGGTATTTGCAATGAATGAGTTGTTGGTCTTGCAAAATTCTATCATGTGATCTTCCATGTCATTTCTATCACCAAGGCCATATTTTCCGACTACCAGTGATTCTTTGTCCAACTTTTGCACTCTAATCCAGTGATAATTAACACATCCTGATTGCATGTTTGGTCAATTTC